GTTAGGATGGTCTGATACTAGCTCATCCATGAGAGTTGACCTAACACCGGTCAACTCTGGGGGTAGTATATTGTTGACGGCTTTTTACTCCTCATTCGAAATAAATTATTCACAGTTGTCTTAATTTTGACTGCAAAAAATTGAGAACAAATCAATAGAGCCTAGTGCAGGTGAGGCCGTATCGATGCCATCTTTCTCTCTCTTCCTTTCCTCCTTAGAGATCGTCGTTTTCCTCCTCGGTGTGAAATCCAAATCATAACCCAAAGAAGAAAAAGTTATACCATATTGTTCGCCACAGCCGCCGCTGCTGCCACAGTTCAAGGCTCAAACCAAAGAGCTGGGAAGACAAAAGCAAGCACAAAGAACAAAAGAAGACTGCCATCGTCGTCTGCTGCTGCCGGAGTTGTCGTCGGCGCCCAGTGCTCTCACCGCCGTGTGAATATTTTATTACCCATCTAAACAGCGACGAAACTAGCATCTAAATTCCGAGGGGGCAAAATGTTATAATTTATTTAATATATAACTAATAAATTTAAATAAATAATAATGACATAATCATATATGAATTTAGATAGTTTTTGGGAGATGGGACAAATTGTATATAAATACATAAAAATTATTATTTTTAATACTAAAAAAATCATAAAAAATTTGGCTTAGGGGGTCAATTGACCCTCAAGCCCCAATGTAGATCCGTCTCTAAGCATCCTTCGACACATCATTTAGAGGGAGTTTACAACGACATTTGGACTGATGGCCTGTGTGTGCTCTAAAAAATGAAAGAAAGGAGAAAAGACTAATTTATGGTGGGCGGCACTGTGGATATAAAATTATTAGGGCATTTTATTTTATTTTATTTCAAATAATGTGTTTGTTTTTGGATGTTTTTGATTTTATTTATACTATTACGTTGAAATTGCATGATTTAAGATATGTGTCTAAATTGTCTAATAATATATTATTATGTGTTAGATTATCTGCTTTAAATTTAAAAGAAAAATATTATTTAAATCGCACGAAAATAACATTAGGATCTTTAATAATCTTTAAGACAGAATTAAAAAATGATCTATATATTAATATCTGTTGTCCTCATTTTTCATACAAATATGTGAACATAACTCAAAACTCATGTTTCTTTTCCCTATCCATTAGAGGAGTATGATTTTTTAATTTAAATAATAATATTTAATTGTAAAAAAATATAAATATTAAATAATATAAAATCTAAATAGTAAAATATAAGATAGAATTTAAAAAGAAAAAACATTGAATATTTTTTGGACTGTATTTGAGAGCTCGTTTTTTAAATTCGTAAATTTTGAATTAAAATAAAATATTATTATATTCTAAATAAATATAAGTATAATATTTCAAATATTAAATTAAATTTTAATTTAATATAAAAAATAAATAATAACTATAATTTATTCATAATAATAAATTTTATCTATTTAAAATTTTATTAACTTCAGTTTAACTAATAATAAGTATTTTACTATTTTTTTCTATTTAATTTTGTACTTTTCTCGATTTCTTAATAATATTTTTATAGTATTTTATTTTATTTTTTTAATAACTTCACTTCTTGTATTAAAATATTATTTTTTTTTTTTATCCGAATTAATTATGTTACAATATTTAAAGATACTAAAAAATAATAATATTTTAATATAAAAGTGATTAAAAAATAAAATTTAAGTATTATAACAAATTTATTAAGAATTTTATAATAAAATAGTTGAGTAAATAGAAAAAATAATAACAAATTGATTATTATTTGTTAAAATAAGAATAATAAAATTGTTGATGAATAAAATTGTTTATTATAAATAAATTATGCATAAATTTAGGGTTTGTTCGTTTGAAGAATTTTACCAAAAATCCTACTATTCATCCATAATTTTTTCCCCAAAAACATCAAATCAAACGCCTATTTTACATTTTTTATATTATACTAAAAATCAATTTTATATTCAATACATCACATGTATCGTACAACTATTCAAATTCAAAATTTTTAGTATTTAAATCTCAACTCAAAATTCAAATCGCCAAACTAACACACCCTTAACAGACAAAAAAATATTGTAATATAAATAATGCAAACGGAGGAAGTATTTATTAGTTTTTGTGCACAAACAAAGCAAAGTAATTATATCAAACAAAGAAAATATTTTCACTCCACTGTAAAATATTAATTTTATCATTTTAATATATCTATAAAAAGTGCTAGTGAAAAAGTACAATTAATTTTTTAAAAAATTTTGCTAACTATTCTTTTTTATCTATTTATATTTTTATGACAATTCATTCTATTTTAATTTAAATTTTATATTATTAATGCCGTAAAAATTTCAATTATATATATTCATAAAAATACAAAAATAATACTCCTAACTATTATTAATTTTTAGTTTGACCAACTAGAATAGCATACTGAATTTTTAAATTTAACTTTGTAAGATATCATTTCAATCATTTATTCAGATATTTTGTTACTTAATTAAAATTATTCCATATAAATTAAAAGATGAAATAATATTTAAGTAATATATATATATATATATATATATATATGTATGTATTAGAAATCCATACCCTAATTTGAGTGTCCAAAAATTCTAATGATACTTTACAAAACAAAGAGAATATTCAATTTGACAAAAGTAAAAAAAAAAAGTTCAAATAATAGTTGAAAATCACCTAACCATGTTTGTTTATAAATTTGAATTTTTCAATAGTAAAATTAAAAAATAAATATAAAAAACAACGAATAATTATTATTTATTAAAATAAAAATAATAATATATGAATAAGTAAAATTATTTATTATAAAATAATTTATATTTTTTTCGTCCGTCAAATTTATTTTTATTCTCTTTTTAAGTTTATTTCTTAAATTTACCCATTACTAATTCTGGTAAAGTCAACAAATCAATATTTTATTATTTTATTTATCTTCTATTTAATATTTATTTATAACAAATTTCATTAATTTTATTATATTTTCTTATTATTATTTTTTTAAAATTTCTAACTAAATTCTAAAAAATACCACAAACTAATTTTTACTTTTATTACTTTTCAATAAAATATTTATTATTCTTAATTTTGTGTCCGATCCAAATATTCTAAACTTACGAGACGGAAAAGATACATAAATTTAAGAGACAATAAAAAAAAATAGTACTTTTTCCGTTCTAATTGAAAGTAAGTATCATTTTATTTTTACTAAATAATCATATATTAATATTAAAATATTTTAAATTTTTATTTAAATTACAAATATATTATTATACATAATTACTTTATATAAAATATTAAATAATAAAAATATAAAAAATTTTACAAATTTTTATTTATTAATAAAATACTATTATTTTTTAATTTATTTAAAAAAAATGAATATTCCATAAAAGGAAGTATAACTAAGGCACAACAATGCAGCACACATGCTTACATCCAAATGTATCCCAACGTAACACTAACATATAGCCGTTTACCTCTTCTTTTTTTTAAAGAAAAACTGGAAACAACATATAGGGTGTGTTTGTTTGGGGTCAAATTTGGAGAAATATGCTATTGGTTTTTATTTTTATTTGAATTTTGAGCTGATTTTGAATTTATGTGTTTATATTTTGATTGAGTTTAGAGAGTTTTGATATGTATTGATTTGACGGTAATCAATATAATAATATAAATGTGTATTAATTTGTATAATTTGATTATATATTTATATTATATCTACATATATTTCTAAATTTTTATTTATTAGTATTATAAAAAAATTATTATCTACAAAATGATATATATTGAGTATATATTTTATTAAATTATAATTATTATAATTTTTTATTTAAAATAAAATAAAAAAAAAACGCCTACCCGGACATAAGGGTGAGCAAAATATCCGAAATCCGAAAATTCGATCCTAACTAAACCGAAATTTAAAATTTGGTTCAGATTTTCGGTAGATAATACAGTTACTAAAAAAAGAAATAAATACTTTGTTGTAGGACGGACTAAATTGAAAAAATGAATATTTTGTTATGGGACGGAAGAAGTATTATATATGTATATATTTAATATTATAAAATAATAATAAAATATAAAAGAAATTTACAAATTAAAAAAAAATAATTAAAAATATTTAAAATTTCGAAATTTTCGATTTGGTTCGGATTTTTTAGACCGAATTTTGAATTTTCGAATTTCGATTATTTCGGTTCGGATTGATTTTTTCAAAAATTTCAAATTTTCGGATCGATTCTAATTTGACAAATTCGAATGTTCACCTCTACCGGACAGCCCAATTTTGAATTGGATTGCTAGGCAAACAGTATACCGAGCAAACATACTGTTTGCCCAGTAATGTGGGCTGGAGAAATAGATTGGATTAGTAAATTTTTGATTGAATTTAATTTTACAAATTAAGCTCCACAATAATAAAGCGCTTACTTTATTTGTTTATTTTTAGATTAAATTTCACAAAATTTTTTAAGAACATGCACTAAATCCCTCGTATTTTTAAAATTGTGTCAAATTTTTTCGTGGTTTCATAAATTTTGCGTCTAATCCCTTCAGTGGTTTTTATTTAACCGTATTTGACCTAAATGTGCTCAAATTGCTAATAAATTTTAAAATTTCAATTTATAAACCCCTAAAATTACAAATATATTTATTTTTTTATATATTTAGCCTAAAAAATAATAAAAACAAATTTTTAAAACCTGAAAAAAATAACTATTTTTGAATAACCTGAAAAAATAACTATTTTTGAATATATTTACTTTTTTTTAGACTAAATATATAAAAAATAAATATATTTGTAATTTTAGAGGTTTAGAAATTGAGATTTTAAAATTTATTTATAGTTTGAGCGCATTTAGGTCAAATACCGTTAAACAAAGACTGTTAACGGAGTTAGATGCAAATTTTATAAGACCATGAGAAAGTTTGCAGGTTTAAAAATACGAAGAATTTGTTGCCATATCATCAAACCACAAGTAAATAAGTTACCATAAAACAAAGAAATTGAATCCAAGAAGTAAACCGTGGCACGGGAAAAAGAAATTTGATGCAATTTAGTCTTATTTTTAAGACGTAGGAATCTGTTGACGCTATCCGAAAATTATGCACACGGCATAAACATATGATACCTGATACCCGTATAAATTAGGCCCGACAAAGCAATAATGATGAGATGTGTGTCTGAACCTGAATCTCATTCATGGCCGATTAATGAAAGAAGCCACTCTAGCAAACATCTTCTGGCTATTCTCCCCGTCAGGATCCAGCACGCTAAACACGTGCCCTTCTTCCTCCACCTCCACCGCCTCAATCTCGCCGCCCCACCCACTCTCCGCCACCGCCGCCGTGTACTGCCGCCCCCTGTCCTTCAAATAGTCCTTCCCCGCCGTGTACACCAACACTCTCCCGCACTTCAGCCCCGACAGCACCTTCAAATCGGCGCTCGGATTCACCCACGCTTCGTCCAGCCCCGTCAGCCCCGGGCACGCGTAGAACCACATCTTGTCCGTGAAGATCTTCCCCAACACGCCCGTGTCGGAACGCTCATCCCCGATCGGATCCTTCCCTGAGAAGAACGGGCAGTTCAGAAACATGCCGACTAGGTTCATTCCGGCGGGATTCCCGCGGCCGAAACGGAGGGCGATATTGTGAGCTATGTTCCCGCCGGCGCTGTCTCCGCCTAGGTAGACGCGGCCGAAGTCGCCGTGGCGTTTGATCCAGTCGTCGGCGGCGTCGGACGCCGCCCAATTGACGGCGGTCCAGGCGTCGTCGAAGGCCGCCGGGAGAGGATTTTCCGGCGCCAGGCGGTACTCGACGGACACGGCGACGACGTTGGCTGCCGACGTGAGGAGGTTGAGGTGCTTCTGGTAGACGGAGGAGAAGGCGGATTCGATTAGGAAACCGCCGCCATGGAAGTAGAAGAGGAGGGGGACTTTCGTGGCCTGTGCGGCGGCGGTTTTGGGGAGGTAGAGGCGGGCGGAGATAGGGAGATCCGGTGAGATCTGGACGTCCTTGGATTGAACGCCGGTGGTGGGGTCGAGGGAGGGGGGGACGGCGGCGCCGCCCATGAGGCGTTCGATTCGGCCATCTTTGTAGTGGCGGAGAAGGGGCGTGAAGTCGTGGAGGATGTCGTCGGAAGTTGCAGAGGACGACATTGTTGGATTGGGTGAAAGAGATAAGAGAGTAATGTGAATGGCCGTACTGTGAGTGTGAGGCCTTGTTTATACAGACTTTGACTTTGGGTGTGTTTCTTAATTTTATTTTGAACCGTTTATTAATTCCTCCGTCGTGAATAGTTACGCATTTGGTTAGTTATGCTAATAGAATATAGATTTTTTTCGCATGTAAAAAAGTATCGTTGTAATAATAATAAAAAAATTAGGATAGTTTTACAGTGATACGATTATTTATAAAAATAATACTATTGTTTTGAAATATACAAAAATAATAAACAAGACAATTGTAATGAGACTGACAGAGTAATTAATAAATAAATAATTATAAATTTGTCATATTATTTTTTATTTAATATTATTAAAATAAATTTAAAATATTTATTTAAATATTTTAAACACTCTGGGTTTGTTTGCTAATACTCCCCTATTGGCTATAATGTTAATTTTAGCTATTATTTTTATTTTACTGTAAATATTAAAATTTAGAAAGAATATAATTAATAAATAATTAAAAATATATTAATAAAAATATTTATTATATAGTAAAAATAATTATAAATTAAAATTAAAATAATTAATTAATTTAATTTAAATAAAAAAATAAATTAAATTAAATATAATTTTTTCAGAAAAAAAATAATAAAATAAGTAGAACGGACGAAAATACAAAATGAATATGGTAAGCGGGACGGATGAAGTTTTATTTTGGAAATAAAATCAATTTTGATCTTAATATAATTAAAATTAATTAATTTTAAAAAATTTATCAATTTTAATGACAACATAACCAATTTTAATCTATTTTAGTCTCACAGCAGAAATGTTGATGTGGACATAATAGAAGTAATGTCACATTCAATATTAGTATTATATTGGTTTACAGTAGAAAAGACAAAATTATCCCTATTAAATTATGTGTTAAAAAAATAACGACATTTGTGTAATATATTAAAAATTGTAAAGATATTAATTATAATAGATAGGTAGTACAATTACTAAATTAAAAAATAATATTTTTTTTAAACGAACAAAATAAAAAATAGTATCGTTCTTATGAAACTGATGAAGTATTAATACATTATATTTATTTTTAATAATAAAGTATTATTTGATCATTATGCATATCTATAAAATTATACTTCTTCCATCATCGATATTTATATCAATTTGTTCAGACACGAGTTTAAAAAAAAGGGTAAAAATAATAAAAAAATTTATAGTAATATATATATATTATTATTATTTTTACTATAAAAAATATTCCTTCAATCCAGTTAGAAAGTATACATATTTATATTTTGGGACGTTTATTTACAAAGTAAATATTTCATTAAATACTTCATTTTTTCCATAAATACCTCTACTTTACATCCATAATTACTTCTATACCAAAAAGTAAGGACAAAAATGTCATTACACTACTTTTAACTACCCACTATAATTATAATACTACTATTTATTAAACATTGCACCAAAAGTAATTGTATACTTTATGTGTGGATGGAGAGAGTAAATATATATATATTTTTTGTATTAAAAAAAAAAAAGCATAAATTTAATAACAGGAGAATATTAGTATATTTTACAAATATTATACGTATATTTATTAAATTAACATTCAAAATTTTTAAAAATAACGATAATAAGTCTACCACTACCTACATCTATATTATTTTATTTATTTTTTAGAATAATTATTATTTTAAAATTTTATTATTTATTTATTCATTTTTCATAAGCATGTGTAGGACGTGAAGTCAATCATTACTTATGCATTTGAATGGTTATTTTTTGAGTTATTTGAAAAAAAAAAAAATTAATGTGTGCGGCCGTGTTGGTTCTAAATGCTATATAATTTTCATTATGGTCATATCAGTGTTTTTCTTAATTTTTTTAATAATGGACTGAAATTGATTATATTGAAATCTATATTGAGATCAAAATTAATTTATTTTAATTATATTGAAAATAAAAATAAATTTTTTTTATTATTTTTTATACGATTTTAAATATTTTATTATCTTAAAAAAATCAAATATTCAATATAATATATTTTTTATATCACTAATACAATTCTTTATACTTCAGATCAAAAAAAATTATTTAATCAAAATACTAAACAAACAAATCCTATATTTGAATAAAATATATAGATATGATCAGTTTTTAGAGAATACAAATATTTGTCTATTGAAAAGATATAAAAATAAAAATAGTATTGACTCGATCTATTTATTAAATATATTTAAAATTAATAAATTTACTCAAAATAAATAAAAATGTATAAACTAATATGATAGCACGCTGAAATAAAATACGTATCAATTATTATGAAATTGAATTATTATTATTTAAGTTTATTTTTATTGATTTTTTCTTTGAACAAAATTTGAATACAATATTTTTGCGGACCAACTATAGGATTGCTAATTTGATTCAATCATCGTATAGATAATAAGACGTATAATATATATTTGAAAATATATGATAATACAATGAGTAGGTTTATTTTGTGAAATAATTTAAATAAATTTTTTTATATGAAATATAAAGAATTATATATATAATATAAAAATAATAAATATGTATAGTATATTAATTTTCTAGAAAAAATGTATTATTATTATTATTATTATCGTTATGTTATATATGCACATATGATGTACATAGTGTCGACGTAGTGCTTTATCGATATATCATAGACAAATGTGTAGATGTTTGTTTTTGGTCAAACATGCCTATATATATATATGTATGGTGCAATGAAATAAAAGAATACCACAAGACTTGTTTCAATTACTACTATCACTTAATAGCACTTCACATCAATCATATCACTTATCTATCATACACATACATATATATATAGTTATACATCATTACATATTCACATATTACATATATATTCACGAAGGCTCTTGCTTATTTTATTTTTGGTAAGTTTTATTTTTATACTATCTATATTATTTATTTTCTAAATTATGGAAAATCTTGCAAAATTTTCTTTTAAACCCCTGCTTCTCACCGGCAATAATTTTCTGACTTGGTCCCTGGACGTAGAAATGCATCTGGTTTCTGTGGGCCTTGTTCATACAATTTCCATTGAAAATACGGCTACAAGCCAAAATCGGGCTAAGACTATTATTTTCATCCGTCACCATCTGGACATTCCTTTACAGTCCGAATATTTGACTGCGAAAGATCCACTAGATTTGTGGAATAAATTAAGGGAGAAATTTGGGTACTTGAAATATATCACTCTCCCGAAAAGCCCAGCATGATTGGCTTAACCTGCGGTTGCAGGATTTCAAAACTGTTACAGAGTACAACTCTGCTATCCATCATATTACATCTCAGTTAAAACTCTGCGGAGAAAATGTTACTGAGAATGATAAATTGGAAAAAACTCTCTCTACCTTCCATGCTTCTAATGTTGTGTTGCAACAACATTATCGTGAGAAAAACTTTCAAAAGTACTCACAGCTCATTGCATGTCTTTTATTAGCTAAGCAAAATAATGAGTTACTGATGAAAAATAATCAATCCCGGCCCACTGGTTCCAGTCCGTTCTCTGAAGCGAACGTGACATTTTCTAAACGAGGCCGAGGATATGGTAGAGGCCGTGGACGAGGTCGCAGTCGTGAGAGTCAACGCGGTCAATATATCTCTTACAATCGCCGTAGTTTTGACATTAACAGGATGCAGAGTAAACCCCAATATAGAGATATAGCCGAAAAGGCTAAACAGGGAAAGAGACAAATCGACATTTGTAATCGGTGTGGCGTTGAAGGCCATTGGGCCAATACCTGCAGAACAGCCAAACACATAGCCGATCTTTATCAAGCCTCACTGCAGAAAAAGGGGAAGGAGGTCGAGACTAATCACATTGATAACAATGACAACCCCGATGATGATCTTCTGGATTACGACACAACGCATCTTAATATAGCGGACTTTATCGTAGATCCAGCAAATCCCCAGTGACAGACATACTATGTCATTTTACATTATCCCATATTATATTTTGTAATATTTAAATTACCGCATATTACTTTTTTGTAATGCATTTTGTAATACATATTTCTTTCTTTATTAATACTGTGTTTATTTATATTTTAAGGTTAAATGAATACCAATCAAAATGATGCAAATATGTGTTTCATTGACAGTGCAACGACACATACTATATTGAAACACGAAAAATATTTCTCCCATTTGAAAAGGGAAATGATGAATGTCAATACAATAAGTGGCAGTGCAAAATTAATTGATGGCTCTGGAGAAACCATTATATTTCTCTTTGCGGGGACAAAAATTGTGATACATTATGCATTGTTGGCCACTAAAGCTCGAAAAAATTCACTGAGCTTTCATGACATTTGGAAAAATGGTTCCCACATTGAAACTATGAGTGATACCGATGGTGAATTTTTATTGATCACCAATATCATTGATAAAAAAAAAATGCATAATTGAGAGATTACCCTCACTCTCTACTGGCTTATATTATGCCAGATTAGGTGTTGTTAAAACACACCTCACAGTAGATCAAAAGATTACCTATTTTCAAATATGACATGATCGCCTTGGGCATCCTGGCAGTATAATGATGAGATGAATAATTGAGAATTCGCATGGCCATTCATTAAAAGGTCAAAAAGTGTTAAACTCAAATGAGTTAACCTATGCTGTCTGCACTCAAGGATAATTGATAACCAGACCATTACCAGCTAAAGTAGGTATTGAATCACCTACATTTTTGGAAAGAATACACGGAGATATATGTGGACCAATAGACCAACCGTGTGAGCCATTCAAATATTTTATGGTGCTTATCAATGCATCCACTAGATGGTCACATGTCTGTTTATTATCAACCCACAATATGACATTTGTGAGATTGTTTGCCCAAATTATTAAATTATAGGCACAATTCCCCGACAATCCCATTAAGACTATACGTTTGGATAATGCTGGTGAATATACATCGAATGCATTTGATGATTATTGCATGTCGATTGGAATTAATGTAGAGCACCCAGTTGCTCATGTTCACACACAAAATGGCTTGGCAAAATCACTTATTATAAGATTGTAATTGACTTCTAGAC